CTGTTTGGCTGCATAAATTTAACAGGTTTGAGTTTACAATCTATCAAAAAGATTAATCTCAAACTCCCAGCACAAACAGAATTTCCTTTAATGTTGGAAGATACTTTGGAGAATGTATTTGCAAGCCTGGATAATGTGAATTGACTTCAGTAGATTATAGTGAGTAGACCAAAATTAATGTCTTCAGCACCAAATCTGTCGGTCCAGTTTTCTTGAGTAACATCTGCCAATTTTGTTGCAAATTGAAGCACTTCACACCCCCCTTGTTACCAGTTCTGAATGCCGACTCTCACTTGATCACCAAAAGTAAAGTGGTGGCTTTCAGATAGGTTTTTTTTCACAGTATTTTTCTGCATACTTTTGAATGGAGATGTGAACTTATTTCTCCTGACAGTAGGCTCATTTTCTCAGCTCTTTAAAAAGAATCTCCAATCCCCCAGTATCTCATCAACCACCAGATAAAAGCCACAGTCTTAAAGCATATCCTGTTTTTCTCAGTATTTAATATAGGATTGGGATGGATACAAAAGTTCTATCCCTCTGTCCTAATAATAATATCTCCATCTGACAGCAGGTTATTTCTGCAACTGTCATGATTCCTGCTTTTCTAGAGCTGTTATTACCTTACTGTTAATACTGCATATTATTACACTGCAGAAGTGTTGTTCTTCTAGTGACAGCATATGGAGGACCATCAACTGCCAACAGAGAAGTTCATACATTTAGAGTGCTCAGACGTTATCTGACACACATTGGAGGTACTGAAATAAGTTTGGAAACCATCTAATTATTCCACTTGTTACTGGGGAGGGAATGACCAACAAAAAGGAATGCTTTCAGGTTTTAATGGTAGCTCATGAATTCATAAGGGGAGGCAGAATATCAGAATTTATGGAAGCCACAAATTTGTCAGCCATACAATGGCACTGATTTGAATATCTCCAAAAAGCTATGAGAAAATAAATCTGGTATTTACATTACCTTAACATTAAATACATTTACTGAACTGTGACAGCACATATTTCTTGTGAAAACCTGTCATTTTGGTAAAGAAACCTGGTTCAGTAGTTCTCAGTATGGATTCTGCAAACATCTTAAGCAGGTGAATAAAGGTGACTGACTGGAACAACAGAACAGCTCAGATTTATTCTACCTGACAGAGATACCAGGGTATGTGGTATCAATAAGCAGTTTGCAGCCAAAGATGAAATCCCGGTCCTGTGGGAATCAGTGAAGATTTTACTCCTGAGATTAATGAGACCAGATTCCATGCGAACTTTCCAGGGTGATTTTAAATCAATCTGTTAGAGTGTATGCTCAAACCACAGTGCAACAGAGAAAGTTCCTCATTGTCTTGACGTTTCAAGGGTTTGAAGCTGGTTGGGTTTTTTGGTTAGCTTACTGGCCACTTTCAAAATTGGGAAGAAACTTTGGGATTCTGCCTTTCAGTAGTCTGTAAGTCACCTGCAAGCCTGAGGTTCAGGACCCTGCTGTGTCTGAGTCATGGCAAGAATCTGAGCTTTTCCTTCCATTGCCCAAGCACATGTTTTACACCCAAGGCACCTTGCCAAGCTCCATATTTTTGTTCTTTGCATTTCCAGCTCTGAAATTGCACTTGGATTTTTGCAAGTACGGTACTTTGAACTTCTAAAAAACAAATATAGTTCATAAAATGACAGGTGCAAATGAGTTGCCTAAAATAAATCATCCTGCGTTTAATTTATATTCTATTATTCATATGCCTATTTATTAGTATTTACATGTTTTAAAAGGGTACCTACCCAAGCACCAGAGCTGCTTTTTTACATAACACAAAAGCAACACTTTGCTACAAGTTCTTCAGTTTGGTCTTTATTAATGTGTAAGTCTCTTTAATATTATTATTGAGATATTTCTTCTCGGTTTTGCCTGCTGGAGAGGATGAGATAAACAAGCAGGCCTGATTTTTCCAGCTGGTAAATATGTAAAGCGGCACAACGCCCTCAAAGGGAAAGGTTTTAGGAGGCAACGGCAACAAACAAACGGCGCTCTGGGAGCACACTGGAAACAACGTGACGGTTTCAGAGGCAAAATCGGGACAAGCGGGGTCATTCCCGGAGCCGCAGTGCTGCCCAGTGGGAGGCAGGAGCGGCGAGCTGGCGAAGGGGCCACGGCCCCAGCGCCGCCGGCCCGAGGAGCAGCATCCCTGCATCCCAGCGGCCGCGGCGAGAGCTCCCCCTCCTGTCCTGCTCCTTTTCAGCACGATGGGAAACGTATCATGGAGCCTCGGACACCGAAACGTGTTTAAGCACCAGTCTGCGTGCGTTTATGCACGTATAAACCCACACGTACACTCCCACACACGGGGGAAAGCTGAAGGTATAAAGGGAGGCTGTTCTCTCTCTTTTTTTTTTTTTTTTCTTCCCCAAGTAACAGCCCCAGACGTTTCAGGCCAAAGTAAAGGTGCGGCTCATAACTGGGTTCTTTTAATATTGCTGATAGTTTACCTTATTATTCCCTGTTTGCCAGGGTGTTGTCAGCTCTCCATCAGGTTGCTTAGTGATGTCAGTCAGAATGGAAAACATATGTCTATGCATTCTTTCACCTGTATCCGAGGGGAAGCCATAATAAACAGCAATTTAAATTCAGGTATTTGGTTTGCTGGAGTGTTTAATTAAACAAAGAAATTCATTATGTGTGTTCACAGAAAAGTTCCGTTAAGCTGATTTTTTTCGTTTGACTTGAAGTGGAGATGTTCCTCTGACTTTTTGAATAGCATGCTCAGGTGATAGATTATTTGTGCCATTAAAAGCAAATAAATGCACTGAATAATTAAAAAATTGGCTCCCAATATTTGGGAGGGTTTTTTTAAGTGCACCCAGCCATTTTTGTACACATGGAAAACATATATGTGAACTTCTCCCTTGCTTCAGTTCCACCCAATCCCCACTTCCACTTCAGTGATGTTTTTTCACCCATACCTTTGAGAAGGGGCACATTCCACTCGTTCCTGAGCTTGGACGAATGCCCACAGCATTACTCACACACAGTAGTCTCTGTAGATTCCTTTCTGCTCTGGATACTAATCTCAATCCAGAGTTTTCTTAGATAATTGGAGGCTGTTCTGCAAAACGTCAAGAGGTAGCCTCTCCAAAGCAGACACAGTATAGCAGTTGTAATGGGAGTTGTGGTGGCTTTCCAAATATCAAGGTCTGGAAACGTTTGGAGGTATTTTAATATTGATCAATATTTCATTTTTTTGTGCTCCTTTAGGGTATCAGTGTCAAATCTGTACGGTTTAATGGCAAGGCAGAGCCTTAATACTGTTAATGTTTTTTAAAGTTCTGGCAAACAAAGAGAAACTATTTAACTCATGCAATCATTAATAACAATTGCTCTTCTGGCCCGAATCTTCACATAACTTGATAAACAAAAAGAAATGTTAACTTATTGCTCTGATTTTTCTTAAATATTTTCAAGTCTTCTGTTACAATGCATTTTTTTTTCTTGTTTAGTTTCTCATGTTTCCCACACCAAAAGTAAGCAAGAAGAAGTCTTTAGCATCAGAAAACACCCACACTATTAAAAATCAATCAATATTAAACCTTTTAAAAGGTAGCAATGCATTAAAAACCAAATTAGTAAAAATATGCCCTGGACACCAGTATTGACTTTGGGGAAAAATCTTTATCATCTCTCGACTGCTACACTCTATCACTACGGTTATTCAGTGACTCTTCTGTGATGCTTTCATACTAAATATAATGCCAAAGATCAGGTAGAAGGAAATTAAGGACACACGGATGAGCAAGAAACTTAGATGCATTATAACTTTGCTGTGACAAACTATGGGTTTACATCCTCTAGACTCCATTATGATCAAGGCCTATACCTCAGAATGAAATCAATCTTTTCAAAAGAGATTTCGTAAATCTTTTTGAGGTCTATTTGGTCCAAAACAGTGGTCTGCTTGCTCTGTCATACAGGTTGATAAGAGCATTTACCAAGCCCTACTTTCTTAAGGGCTTCTTCTTTCATTGTGGCTGATACCCAGAATTCTGACCTGAGATACCCTCCTACTCTCTGTGTGCTGTGCCCCTGTTTCTCACATACATTGAAATCAGGGAACTCTCAAAGTTAGAAGCAAAACCAGTGAGAGGTGGAGACATGTTCCCTCTGCAGCAGTCCTACAGCTGTAAAGCTCCCTCTGAGGTGAACTGAGAATATTTACAGCCAAGGCACATTCATTTCTTCACCTATAATTTTTTTAGAATTACTGTTTCCACTCCTTCCCATTCTTTTACTTCTCCATGCAAAAAAAGGCAGGAGAGAGTCTTGTTGTTTTACTTTATTAAATGTGTAAGTCTACCAGATGCTACAATGACAGAAGGCAAGAGGGAGAAGTTGTGTAGGATTGGGATACAGCAGAAAGTTCTCCCTTATTTTTAACTTCACTTTTTTTTTTCTAATAGATTAATTGTGCTGATTCCTGAAAATATTGTTAAGTAATCTACATCAAGTTCTTCCTAAAAGTCATCCCCTCATCTCTTTGTCTTTCTGTGAAGAATAAAAGAATTTTTTGCAATAACAATAGTGGTTTATACATTTTCTCCTTATCCTGTATTTCCCCTATGAGCTTTGTTGCATGATATAGTATGTCAGTTTAAGTAACATCTGTCAATGTTGGAAAACAATTGCAGGTTCTTTTCATTCATAAAGTCATTCTGGAGTTTCTTTGTCCTTAATTTTCTTGTCATGCATTCAAAAACATTACATCATTTTGTCTAAATTACCCCCTGCATTGCATATACAAGGTACAGTGTGTTATTCGTTTGTTTCCTGGACCCAAAGAAACATGTCAAGGTATTTACACTGGCGTATACTAAATGATTTAGACTTGGGTAAAGTTGTGCTTTGACATGTCATTATTTGACAATTGCTCTTCTAGTGCAATGCTTGCTTTTCTGCCAGTAATTCCCTGGAATCCTACATGATGTGATTCAATCTCTTGATCTTCTCAGTTATATTTACATTCACTTTACACATCCTAATACATAGTGGCAATGCCTTCACATTTCTGTGGCGAAAAGTCTGTCAAAAAATCCAAACATATCTTGGGAATGCAGAAATACATTCAGGACTGGGGCACATATTCAGCAAATCCTAGAACAGCAGAGATTGGAAGGGACCTCTGGACATTTTCCTGCTCAAAGCAGAGCAGATTGGTTCTATGTCCACTCATGTTTTAAATATCTCCAAGCATGGAGACTCCATAGCGTATCTGGGCTACCTGTTCCAGAATTTGAACATCTTCATAGTAAAAAACCCCTTTTTCTCATGTTTATGTGAAATTCGCTGTATTTCAATTTGTGCCTATGTATCCCTTGTCCTTTCACTGCAAAAAGTCCTGCTTCACCTTCTCTACTTGCCTCCCCCCAGTCAGGTATTTTTACACATTGATTGTACATCTCCCTGGCCCTTCCCTTCTCCTAGCTGAACAGTGCCAAATTTCTCAGCCTCCCCTCAGACGTCAGATGCTCCAGTTCCTTTATCATCTCCAAGGCCCTTGTCTGTCCTTGTTCCAGTGTCCATGTCTCTTTCATGCTGGAGAGCCTGGACCTTGACTCAGTACTCCAGATGTGCCTCACCAGGGCTGAGCAGAGAGAAAGGATCACTTCCCTCAACCTGCCAGCAGTTCTCTTCCTAATACACCCCAGCCTTCTTTGCTTTAATGCTGCACTACTGGTTCATATTTAGCTTGTTAAATGCCAGGGTCCCCAGGGCCTTCTCTGCAAAGCTGCTCTCCAGCTGCTTCCCCACCTGTATTACTACAAATATTGCCCTGATCTGGGTGCAGGATTTCATATTTCTTTGCTGAAATTCATAAGATTCTTTTCAGCCTATTCTTCTGCATCTTATTAAATTTGCTTTGATTTATGATCTTCTAAGTAATCAGTAATACTATTATCTGGAAATATTTCGTTTTCCTGAACTGTGTGGCTTTTCTTAATAAAATCATGCATGTAACATTAATTATAATAATCTATGTCTCTTACCGCCATAACCAAAAATAGATTTTGCTTAAAGACAGTCCTGAGAATCCTTCTCTACACAGATAGGATTTTTTGCCTTAAAACATGATCAGTGTATGTATCTGCCTCTATCCAAGATTCTTGAACTCAAGTGTGGTTATCAATTTCTTCTCACAGTGCTACTAGTTTAAGTAGAATTGACATGTCTTCACCACTTCCTTTCAGGTCACCAGAAGGTGCAGATGGGAGACGGACGGTCACATGCAATTTCCATCCCACCCACACGGCCCAGCAAAGGCTTGCCACGAGACTTCAGCTTTGGGTAAGTTCTGGGAGTATAGGGTAAGGAACTCCAATTCTATTAGCATGCATTGAAATCCTGCCCACATAAACATGACAAACCCTGCCACACTGAGGTTTATTGTGAGTATCACTAGAGATCCCCAGGTGCCTCACCATTCCTGCAAACTCAGGCAGCAATGGCTTGCAGAGCCAAGGCTCTGTATTATTGCTTCCTCCCATCCCCCAGGACAAAGTGAGAAACTGCTTTCTGCACACTATACATGTGTCACAGCTAATGTCTCTTGAGCCCTGGTGCAAGGAGCTGTAGACTGAGGTTTATTGGCTTTGCCTGAACTGCCAACACCAAAACAAGGTCCAAGGCAAACTTCAAAATGTTTTCACCCATAAGATTAGTTGGGGTCTTCTTGTCTGTTGTCAACTAATATTACAACTACCAGTTAGTATTACAGCTATTTTGCAGATGAGAAATAATCAGGAGAGAGATAAAGTGACAAAACACATGTACTTGAAGAGACTCGTGGCCTCAACTAGAACTCAGCTCTTATGCCTTATAGGACAGTCCTGTCACCATTAGAACATGTAATCTAACCTTCTTGGAAAAAAATGAAATGTGAGCCTCCCTTTGAACCAGTTTGACTTTGAGCTCCCTCATGAAACACTGACGACCTTTGAAAGAACACGGGGATGGCACCATAGACAGATTTTCCCTCAGCTGGCTGCAAATAAAGTGATTTGAAATAACTGCCAAAGCTGTAATTTATCAGGCTTTTTCACAGATTCCACAAAAGCAAGGAAATTCGAAATTGAAAGGCTTTCTCCAGGCAGAACATGTCAGGCATTTGTGCATGAATTGCAGGAGGAGACACGATATGTTTCTTTTAGAGCTGTTGTTGCCATCATGGTAAGCGAACAAGCATCTGTGCTTCGGAAATCAGTGGATGGAAGGTGTTCCGTGAAAAGCAGCATGTGGGAAAGTAGCTTAAAATGGTGAGAGTGTACAAAAGTAGCAGGAGTTCTGAATGCCATTCCGGAGAAGAACTGGAACAAGGCTGACACATAGAAAGGTGGCGAGAAAGCAAAAAGAAATGCAAAGAGGAGTACACTGAAGAAAAAAACCTGCCCACTTCTGGCTAGAGAATAGGTCTGAGCAAATTCCAAGAGAGGAACAGAGAAAGAGGAAAAATTAAAGGCCAAAAGGGAAGTGTATCTATTAGATGATTGTGCAGGTGAACATGAAAGTAAAAGTTTTGGTATGTTTTATTGTGGAAACAGATACAAAACTGAAAATCAGATGTCCCAACAGGACTCCTGATGTAGCAAATATGTATATATTTATAGTACACAAAACCTGTAAGATGATTCTCCTCTGTAGCGATTGCCACAGATACTGAAAAAATTGCAAGATTCACATTTAGTAGTATTTATTTCACAAGTAGTGCTTACCTTAAATCACCATATGTAAGGGTTGCACTGCCAGTCCTAAGGTTCTTAATTTCACTCCAGGGCTGACAATTTCCTATGTCACAACACTGTGAAGCTGTATCCAGAATAACAATTTAATACTTGAGTGCCCAGAGCCAGGCAGATGTTTTGCATAAAAGTGTTCTCTGGTGCTTGTGGAGTGCCTGCAGCTCCCCCCAAGAAGTGATGGGTGATAAGCACCTCTGAAAAACAGGTCACTGTCACTCAAGAGCTCAGAAAGGAACTGAGGTACCGAAGTTTAAGGCTAAACTTACAAGTAAGTGACATCATTGTGGAAGAGTGGGTCTCTGAAGGACTGCCATGCTTTTGGTCATTTGAATTTTGGCATGTAATAGGCATGCATTTGTAAATCAGATGCCTTTATAGCTTGTAACATCCTCCAGAAATGAGGATAAAAAAAGAGGGAATTAGAGAGGAAAGAAGGAAGATGAGGGGAATTAAAACAGAAATGGATGGAGATGTATTCAAGGTTCTTTTAGACTAGCTTGAGCATGCCTCATTGGTTCTGAATGCAAACTATCAGTTAGGAGGCTTAAAATAAACATAATGAAGTGGGGATTCTTCCACGTAATGCACACTAAAACTATAAAACACATGTCCATGGGATGTTTGGGGGAGAAAAAGTCTAAACAGCTTCAAAGAAGAGCTTAGAAGAGACAGACTTGGAAGATCTGGAAATAGCTCCATTTTCATTTATTAAACATGATAGACTTGATAGGGCATCTGGCTCAAGAAGCCTCTAAAATGCAGTCAGGTGGGAGCTGGACTGACGTACCACAGGACATATTTCTCTATGCTTGCTTGATTTTTCATTCTATTCCCTTAAGCATTTCCTACAGGCTCTTATGGGAGATGGTATACTACTGCAAATGCTCCTTTAATCTGACTCAATATTCTTATATTCTATTTTGCATTAGTAACTTACGACTTCCCTTCTATAGGTTACTTAACTGTGCTGGCCTAGATAAAGTTTTCTTCCTCTTGTCCTCCTGCAGCAGTGACTATGATTTCTATAATGTCCAAATATTAACTATTTTAGAGCATTTACTGAAGAGGAAGGCAGGCATTTTACACACAGGAATTAAAGGGAGAACAGATGCAAGTGAGTCGAGTGCCAGGTAAATATAAATGCATCACGTCTGGTACCCTGAGATTCATCACTCTGCCTCCAATGGATTGACATCAGGATAGATTCAAAAGCAGAGGGAACAGTTCTGGCAAACACAGAAGGCTTTACCTAGACTGGGGGAAAGTGTGTTGATAGTACAGTATAACACAGATTAAAACCTTCTAATTTCCCCAAAGCCATGTAATTATACTTGAAATAGATTATTTTGGTCAGAATTACAGAATTACAAGGATAGATTCAAACGGTTTTGTTTAACTTGGGGTTTCTAACCCAAATTGAAAAACCATTTTCTTTATCATCCAGGTTCACTTTCATATATCGAGGCTTGGTTCCCAGACTGGCATTACTGTCCACCTGGTAGCAAGGCAGCGAGTGGGCACAGAGGGAGAAAAGTCCCCTAGAAAACTGTTCTCTCAAGTGTTCTGGGCTTTGAAGTTGATCAGTAAACAGCAAGCCAGTGTTGAATCTCTGGTGCAGAGCGCTCGTGCTGTGCAGAACTGCTCAGGGAGTGGGTAGTGGCTTCTTGGGAACTGGATCTTTCAGGCATGCTTCAAAGGGGACTCTTAGAAAGGTACAGAAAGCCAGGTGGACGCAACAAAGGCACTGGTGATTTCTGCAAAGTTTACTTCAGAGGAAATGTGCAGCCAACCTTGGTGGAGAATATATACCTTCCACCCTTATAAAAACAGAATGATAAAAAAGTGAGCAAACCCAGCCCTACTAGCAGGAAGAACATTTAGTATTACATCTGTGTTTTGATTATGTATGTGAATAGCAAGCAGCAAAATATAAATAACACTTCATAAATTACGTATATTTAGTCCCTGAGAAGTAAGCACTTTAACGGAGAAATCTTTCCATTTATTTATTTAAATCCATGTAAAATGTGCATGTTGTGTATGTTTGCCAGTTTCCTGGCCATACTAGGTCTTTAATCCCTGGGTTCTATCATTATTTAGTAACATGACATGATTTAGGTAGAGTTTTGCAACCAATTTTTCACATAACATACAAAATCCCAATTTTTTTTCTGCAGGACCCTCCCAAATCACATCTTCTGTGATTTTAAGGGATATGAGATAAAAAAACATCCACAGAAAATCTACAGATTTGTGAGGCATGGAGTTTAGTAATGGGCACATAGGTAAGCCTTTGTTCAGCATGGCTGTCATTTTGCTCTTGCCCAAAACATGAACTCCTTAGGCAAGAGATCATTTCCTTTGTTCTCATTTTGATATGTGTCTGGCTGGAGTTTTCCACTGCTACTAGTGTTCAATTAAATACAAATAATAAATAGTTAATGGGTTGCCAAGCTGCAGAGGTGGGGCTAATCAGCTGAGGCTTCATAGGGTAGTTAATGATGGATTAGGAATGGGCGAACTGATAAAGCTGAATATTTAAAGGCTAATATTGTACAGGATGATGGATGCTTTGTCAGCTTCGATTGCATATGACCAGAACTAACAATGTGCTTATCTTCCTCCTCCTTCTTCTGTAGATTACTTGGCTCCAAATCGCTGCTGTTTTGAGAGTCTCTGTCCAAATTCCCCTGAGTGGGATTCTGCCTGTCAGAGGAAATGGCCTAAGAGGCTGTCTTACAATTGAAATTGGGTTGGGAGGTGAAAAAACAGCGACTCTACGAAGGAGGGATGTGATCAGCTGCAGACTTGTCTGCCCCTGCTCATACTCAGCTTGCTGAAATGGAGCGACTTCAATTGATTTTGCTATTTTTGCAGTGCTGACTGATGAGCCAGTGAAGAGGGAACTGTGTTCTGTGAGAAAGCAGCATGGGAGGGGCATGTCCCACTGCCTGTGCTGCACTGCTGGGAGCTACCCGGAGCTTTGGCTTCTCATCTGCACTGTGCACCGACGAGCTACTGTATCACTGTGTTTTGTGTGCAAAGGGTAACGTACACCTACTCTGTCAAAGGATTCCTATATATCACATCTATATTTATTTATTTGTTTAAAACAAAAATAGTTATGCATTTGTTATTTATTAACCAGCATGTTCTCATATTGGCATACTTAGTCTTAAAAATTAATACCTTCTAGTGTCAAATTCTGTGCAAGAGACATGACTCCTACTGAAACCAACTGATGTTAAACACTGATGGTGTTTTTTCAGCATCTAACTATGGGATCAATAAGGCCTTCATCCTTGTCGGTAGTCTGTCAGCTGGTAGGAAGACAGGCAGCCCTGTAGACAAGACACAGACAAGGAGGTCAAGAGAAGTGGATTCTTTTCTCAGTTTGCCTTCGGGTTTTTGCAAAGCCTTGGACAAATCACACAACCTCTCTGCTAAACCTCCTGACTTCCAAAATGGAAATGAACATAACTGTCTGCTTCCCAAGGATGCTATGGAGTAAATCAATTCTCAGAGAGGGGGGAAGGGAGGGGAAGGAGGTGTGTGGGAACAACAACTACCTGGATGCTTTGGAAGGAACAGACATATTTCTGTTAGTATGCATTTTTGTAAGCAGCCTTAGAGTGCACCTAAGTATTAACACATTAAAAAATTAAGCAACAGCTAGAGGATTTGGTTATATAGGCAGGGTATAGTTAATATAATATATTAACATTGCTAGTCTCATTCTCCTATGGACATCATTCATTTTGGATAAGGCCAGGGTAACTACAAAAGATTGAAAGGTCAAACGTTCCCAATCAAATGAGAACGCTTTGCAATTGTTTTAGTTCAGATGGTAGTCAGAAAAATATTTCCACCTTTCATTTGCTAGAAAAGCTATCCAGAGCTGGCATTAGTAGTGGCTTTGATGTATTCTCTGGTACACTGGTCCAGAGCATGCTGATGTAAACAGAAGTGTCTCTTGACCTGTTATCTTTGTTCTTCAACTTTGATATTTGCCCCCTTCAATGGTTTCTTTCTCCTCCCGGGGAGGCTTAAAAAAGTCAATTGATAGAGGAAAGAAAGAGTTTCAGGTTTTTTCTCTGCGTAAGACCCTAAAGAAATAGACACATCTATTGTACAGTCACTGAAGCTCTTGAAATAGTGTGGGTTTTTCTCTTGAATCCTGCAGGGAAATGAGCAAAGAAGGAAATAAAAAAAAAAAGCATGCAGTTTTGTCCATAACTATGGTAAGTACATCATACCTTTGATACTTTTGCTCCTGATGGTTTTTTTGAGAGAAAAACTGAGAAACTCAGCTTCAGAAACAGGCAGTGCAAACAGTAATGCCTATGGGTAAGTTGGTCCATCATTGCCCATTATACAACCTTGGTTTTTGATGTCTATATCTGTCAAATATTAGCTAATTTGTAATGACTTTTTTTCTGTGTGTCAGCCTGAAGCTAATTCTTAAAATAGTTCAGTCAGTTTGCAAAATGACGTTGGCAAAAAAATACGTTTTTCTTCTGTTAAAAAATATCGTTGGGTTGCATGACTGAGAAAGTCTCCATGCACTATACCTGAAATTTGGCAAAGGATTTGCCAAGGATTTGATGGGTACCACCCATAAACATGTACAATAAGAAGAGCTCACTATTAGGATGCAAGCTGTGCAGACAAGAGGATGAGTGGAACTTAATGAGCAAAAAATGATGAGGCTGTGACAAGAATGAAAGAGCAGTAGCATGTAAGGATGGTGTGTAGGACTGAGGCAAAGACATGAGGATGTTAGGAGAAAGAAACCATGAGCACGGTCCAGGAGTTAAAAATGAACTACTGAAGTAAGATTCTTAGATTCTTAAGAGAAGGGGTGAAGGGATTGGACTGGGAGACAGAAAGTCCTTGGGTATTACAGCACAGTCTTTTCAAAGAGTCTCTGTGGTCAAAAACTAATAAAAAAAGCTATAAAACTCACTGACAAAGTGTTTCCTTTATTTCTCCAGTGATTGCTGCATTTAAAGAACATCAACCTACTGCTGATGAATCCTGAGGAAGCTCTAGTGGCAGTGTGTGGTGTTGTGGATATCAAGGGTCTTTCCCAAGTCCTAAAACATTTGGACTTAGAGGAGTTCCACATAAAGTTTGCAGAGGTGTTCAGCTTTTTAGACTAACACAAAGAACAGAAATTTAGAAAAGTGAAAGTCTCACACATTAGGAGATGGTAGGTTTGCTGCCCATAGAACTCTAATTCTCCTCAGTTTATATGCATTATTTTAAGCAGACTTTAATTGCATAATCATGTTAGTTTTTCACAGAACAGTTACCACATTAAGTGCAAGAATGGATATGGCTCAGAAAATGAATCAAGGAACTTGTCACCATTACAGGATGAGGTGCCTTGGTAGCAACTCTTAAGTGCATCCCTCCGGCAATTTTCATTAACTTACTCTTTCTGCACAGAAACATGCCACTGCATTCTGTCATTTCTAAACTGTTTATGAGCTGAAATTCCCTATTTAGCAACAGTTTGTTCTGCGACACCAGCTAACTAAACTGCCTCAATGGCAGCTCCTTCAAAGCAAAGCTTTATTCTCTCAGTGAACAGGCAGCACAGAAAGTAAAGATTTGACACCAGAACCTTAACTCATATGTCACCTTCCCAGTTCTTACAAGTTCTCTCTATTCTAGTTTTGCCTCTCTCCAGTTTGGGAGAGGCCATTTACAAAATGCCACAGGCATGTCCAGTTGTTGTTGACTCCACAGTCAAAGCCTCTTCCCTAGGACAGTACCTTTGAAAGTCTTGGAATTGTCTCAGGTATGAGAACAATAAACACCTTGTCATTGCCATTGAAAACCAGGTAAGGGTGTTCCTTTTCAGTAGCTTCCCCCTTGTAACTCCAAGAGTTATTTGCGCTTTCCCCAGACATCTTTATTTGTGATGCAATTGTTTTCTATTTGCATCTTCTTTTACAGTATCCTTCAGTGTAACTCTCTTTAATCATATGGAATAGCACAAACAAAATAAAGTGACATGTATCTTGTATTGGTAAAGATAAGAAATGTAACACCCTCATTTTTCATGTGAATGTAGTCAATGGGACAATTTTCTCATCAGAACTCTGCCTGATTTGTTGTGACAAAGCCTTGAAGTTATAGGAGGAATGTAAGTGACTGTAAAGACAGAACAGATCGTATTCTTGCTAAAGTATTTGTGGGATTGAGGAAGTTGTTTAAATCCAGTTTCTGAAGATGGGCAGTGAGTCTTCCTCCTCTGGGGTACCGAAAATCCAGACTCTGAATTCACAAAAGGTTTGGGTGCAGGTAGCTGCAAAGAGGCATCGTGATGGCTGTGCTCAGAATAAATGAAACGCTACATGACACACCATGTAGTGCAGACCATACTGTAGAATTGTGGGATTCAGAAGTCTTCAGAATTAGCTGTCAATTTTTTGCTGTTAATTTTTTAGTTGTAAGTACCTCTTCAGCTCTCAAGGAGGCTGTTCATAAACCCTTCATCTGTGTCACAGTAGAGCACCATGGAATGAACCTATAAGGAAAGGCAGAACATGCAGTAACATGCCACATCCCAAACAACTCTGAGAAGAGATAAAAAAAGAACACCCGTACACTGCAGTTATGGAATCACAGAATCATCAAGGCCAAAAGAGACCTTTAAGATCATCCAGTCCAACCATCAACCAAGTACTACCACTGTAACCCCTAAACCACTAAACCCCATCACCCAGCAGCAGATCCAGATGCCTCTCAAACACCTCCAGGGATGGTGACTCCAACCTATTCCAATGCCTGACCCTAACAGCGAAGAAGTTTTATAGAAAACATGACTGTGTGGCCAAGGACTACAGGTTGAACACTTTAGGTGTGAACCTGAAGTCTCTTCTCTGCCAATCTCTCTACACAACCCTGGGCGCAGACTGAGCACATCCAGTTCTGTGAGACGTGTCCAGCCAGCCAGGAGCCAGGCGCGGGCAGAGCTCCCTCTCCAGAAGCTCCGGGAGGCGACAAGCATAGAACGAGGAAGAGAAGTGCTGACACGCGGGCTGAGGATGCAGGAAAACCAGAGACGCCCCCTCTGAGCGCCCAGATATATGACCCCGCCCGCCGCCCGCGCTTTACGGCCCAGCGCGTTTTGCGACGCCCAAGATGGCCGCCCCCAGGGCAAAATGAACCCGCTCCGGCCGCCGCCGGGGGGAATGCGGGTTAGGGCTGGGGCCGGCGCCGGCCGGGGCACAGCCGGGGCGCTTCTCCGCGGGGGACACTCGTCCGTGCCCGCTCGGCGTGCGGGGCCCTGCTGGGGCTCGTAGCTGGAGAGCGGAGACTCCCCGGGGAGGCGGCATGTGGGGCGCCCTGCTGCGGAGCGGGGTCCGCGGCACCGGCGGGCTGCGGTCCATGTCGTCGGGCGGCCCGCCCTGGAGCCAGGTGGTGTCAGAGGCCGAGAAGATCGTGGGCTACCCGACGTCCTTCATGAGCCTGCGGTGCCTGCTGAGCGACGAGCTCAGCAACATCGCCATGCAGGTCCGCAAGCTGGTGGGCACCAAGCACCCGCTGCTCGACACCGCCCGGTAAGTGCCGGGGGAAGCCGGGGGGCTCAGCGGGGCCGGGGCCGCCCGCAGCCCTGGGAGGCTTGTCAGAGCTCTGGGGAAGTTCTGGGCTCCGCTCGCTGTCGGGAGTCGGTGGTCGGCATCGCCGCACGGCGCCCGGAGCCGGGGCCGTGACTGGGGTGTCCCTGGGGACGCGCTGTCCTGGGGCCGTGAGGTTTCGCTTCCGCTCCGGGATCCTCCTTTCCCTACCGCAACAGGTTTTCCCTGCGATTATACGCTGTCATTCGGAAGTTGCTTCGTTGTGACGCCACGTGCAATGCTTCCCCATGCGGTGCAAAAAAACCCAAGCAGTTGTGTGTGTGTGTGTTTTTTTTTTTTTAATATTAAGAACTATATGGCAAGGAAAACAGTGGAAAAAAGCGGGGGAACTACACAGCTTAAAAACTCAAAATGGTACTGCTCTGGACTGTGTATTTTGTTACCAAGAGCTTTAGGAAGCATTCTCTGTTTTGGAATATGCAGCTGGGAGCTGCCAGTTTTTTTATGTTGTGGAGAATTTTAGGGTTGTTAAGCTCTTTATCCACTCTTTCAGTTTTTAAGGCAAACTAATGGAAGACTTGCATTCCTGCCAATAAGCAGAAATGAGGGTTGTTGGGTAGCATTTTCTTTGACTGTAAAACAAGAACTGAATGTCAGTGGGGTTTTTTATATATACAATAAATCTCCAGAAGCTTACCAAAATGAAGAGAAGAAAAGAAGTGCAATTTCCAAGGGCTTTTTGGTTATGGATTTGAGTGTTTTGATTTTTTTTGTGTGCTTTTTGTTTGATAGAACTGTTTGCTATAACTGCAAATATAGTAACATTAATAGAATCCAAGTTCAGTATGCATAGTATTTTTAAACAGGTGTAAGAGAAAAATTAGCATTTGTTTAAAACAGATGTTCTGCTTTTCTTTTAAAGAACAGAAATTGTAGCTGTGTAGTGGTCCTTAGCAACTCCACAATTATGGTGTAATAATATAACAACAAGATTTGTTTTCCAAGCTCTTTGTCTCTAAATCTGGTTGTATTGAGTGAACAGAATGAGTATAGGGGACTAACATAGCTTTTTTAAAGAAGCATGATTTTCAGCAAGGGTGATTTATATATTTAAGTAGACTTTTCTGGAAGAAACAAATCAACTTGTCAATAAAAAATGGAAAATACCTGACTTTAGAAAATGCTGGTGGAGGGGATTTGTTGAATTGTTTATAAATGGAGGTTGTGATATTATGATAAAGAGAAGTGACAAGAGAAAAATATTTTTCTGTCTTTGTGAGGTCAGTTGATGGAATTAAGGGAATAGGAGGACCAAAGCACAATATATTTGGGCTCTTAAGTTTCCACCACAGTCATAGAAGTATCATAGAGATCTGCAGTGCTAAAGTGAAACTTCAATGTTAGCTTTAGAGTGTCTGTTCAATGTGTGGTAGTTGCTGGTTTATTTGTGAATTAAATTTAAATGCAGCATTTTGGGGACTGGCAGGAAGTTTTGTGGTGGAGCTGTGTTGTAAGAGTTTGTTGGTAGGAGTTTTTTTTGTTATTTTAAGTGGGCTACTTCAGGCTTAATTCTATAAGCCTGCGGCTTGTGGGACACCAATAGGAATACAGTCATGCCCAGGGTCAGCAGGATTAAATCCATTAATTTTTAAAATTCATATACGTTCCAGAGTACAATAGTGACTAACCTGATGTGTCATGCTGGAAACAAAAAGTATTTACATAAAACTGAAACCCTGTACACTTCCTTTGAATGTTCTTATTTGTTTTGCTGGTATTTCCAAAGGCTTTGATGCAGATGCGTTTCTTATGGCCTTGACCTTTGTGTTATAAGAAGAGTTAATGTCCTGCTGACAAGTTGTAGTACACTGATAGCAATGCACAAATTGTTTCCTCATTCGCCTTGTTTTATGGTGTGATTTTGCAATAAGGTAAAATTTGACCTTGTTCTTTCTTAATAATCTTGATAATTTATTTCTGAAATTTAAGCATTGTATGTTTGAATGAAAACATGAGTGATTTTAGTTTTGGTTCTGAGATCTGTCCTCTAACTTACTACAGCAATTTAGGAAACAACTCTTGATTTTTCAATACTAGGATTTTTTCAATACTTTTAAATCTCTGACTCATTACTTATGCTTAAAAATTAACATAGGTTTCCTGTTGTGTGTTCAGACAAACGTTTTAAAGCATTGGTGATTTTTTTTTTAAATACTTAAGTGATTGATACGTTCTGCAAATCTAATCTTTGAGAGTGTGAGTACATACTGCATACGTCTGATAAGTACTCCAGCACTGAAGGAGGTTTTTGTATTTATGAAATATCTGAAAAATATGTGCTGTAAAATTGATTAATTGCGTGTGCTGTTCTCAAGTTTCTACTAATTTGTTTTTGAGGTTATAAGTGGTGACAATCAAATTGTGATTTTTTTGCTGTCATGTCTAAATAATATTAATTTTCCTTAATCTTCTTTGACTGGTGGCATTTTGTCATCAGTGGTTTTGTGTCTACCCTCCCTGCCTAAAGGCTTTGCTGGCCTTTGAAGTCTTCCTGAGACCATTAGGGATTTCTTAAAGCAGAGAGTTTTCTACCAATACTTACCTGCACGGAGTAGGTTCTGATCTGAGACAACTTAAGTCTTAAGTGCCACCACACCAAAGCCTTTAGTGTAACGGGAGTGTTGATGAGTGTTTTTAAAATTTTGCTGGGCTTTGGGTCACCAGGCTGTTGCAATGCAATGTCTATGCTGAGAGCCTTGAAGAAGGCAGCTGAAAGATAAGTAGCTGTCCACAGTGAGACAGGACATGTGGAGGAACAGCTGTTGGGCCAGTGTATGTTTCTCTGATGATCCCATCCATTTCTTTCTGTTGTTTGGATGCAGCAGTGGCAGCTCCTGGGTATAAGTGCCTGCCGTGAATCAGGACTGCAGCAGGTGTTGTGCTGGGATGATGTGTGACCCTGATACCTCCTACCAAGCCCACGCCTGACCAGTGCCTTTAAATCTGTGAGCTCTTGCTGACTCTGCTCTTGGGAGGGCAGAGATGGGTAACTGAGCCCTACGTGAAGGATTTGGGAGCTCTGTAATTCATGCAGTGAAGTAAAGGGGTTTTTGTTTTGTTTTGTGGGTTGTTTTTTTGTTTGTTTGTTTGCTTGGTTTTTTTATTTCTAATATTTTGGTTTTTAAAAGTCAACCACATGAAGTGAACATCCTTAGTACTAGCTTTGCCAGACCTGTTAGAAAGAGGGTGAAATGTGAGGGAAAGGTTACATTTTGTTTTAGAAGGGCTAATGTCTAGTGGTTAATGGATCATTGGAAGCCGAGATATCTGGATGAGATTCACAGCTGTGCTTTTGGCTCTCTGACTAGAACAAGTCACTTAATTTTTCATACTTACGTTTACTTATCTGTGAAATGAATAATGTAGCATCTGTTTTCTGGAGATGTTACACTTCATTCATTACAGCCTGTATCGATCACTGTGATCTTTGAGTGGAAAATGGTGCATAAGCAATATTAACAAAGAATACTTTAAAGAAATGTTATCATTAAAATATTTGCCTCTAATGGATACTCTGGAAACAAAATTGCAACCTGACTACTTCTGGATCTTTCTTTTTGTAGTCCTGTGATTCACTGTATGGTTTTTCAGAGCTTTAAGATTTCTTTCACTATAATGAAGTGTCTTCAGCAGCTACTCAAAACTAGCATTTTTTTTTTTTTCTCTTCAGGCGTTGCTGGACTAAAGGGAAACTTTTTTTAATGTGTGAACGTATGACCTCCTTTTCGGTTGAGAAGCAAACAGATCTCCGGTCTTCTCTTTCCCCTCTCTCTAGGCTAGCATACATCCTTCTTAATATAGGAAAGAGTCTGTAGTTGGCACAGTGATCTACTTTTCTCAAATACATAGTGTGAGTAACGTTTTCTTGATTACTCAATCTCCCTTGAGAAGGGTATAGCTTGCTGCAGATTGTAAACGGTAAATGTTATGGCCAATGCATCACTTTTATAATATCACTAAATGAAATGGAACACCTCATACGCGTAAAATTATTATGGGATACCATTTAGCTCCAACCATTCTCTCATTAGCCTGCGGGAGGAATGATTATATTTTGGTTCTGTCAGAATTGTTTGTTGGTGATAAATGCTTAAGTAGACTTAGTTATGGTTTTCCTGGATTATTACAGAAATAAAAAGACTGACTAGAGTAGGTTTTGTTCTGTTGTAGTCTGCTCGGTGTAGATCTCTACCCATTCTAAGCACCAAACATAAAATGTGATCCAGAGGACATTCCAGATTACATACTTTTTGTTTCAAATGTCTGATAACATTGGTTTCCTGGTAGTTCTGTTTCTTTGTCAGCTTGCAATGGCTTAGTTCAGTAACAGGTCTCGTAACTTCAGGTGTCATGTGTCTCTGACTTCCTATGTAGGTGACCAATTTCAGAGTAGACCTAGGGGTTTGTTCTGACCTATTGTTATTGGAATTGTTACTGCCAATTTATATTTTGCCTTAGAAGAATGGTGACCTTAAAACTGTCCTTCTTTTATAATTGTAGGTTTAATTACCTAGGTAACCTCATCTCCTTGGATGGTAAGATTGATGGGGAGATAGACAACAGGTTGGCAAAGGCATGTAGTGCTTTCGGAAAACTCCCTAAAAGAGTTTGGCGTAATAAACACTTGAAGAAAAGTACCAGGATCAGTGTTTACAGAGCCATTGTGCTGTCTACTCTCTTATATGGATCCGAATCGTGAGTCATCTACCACCACCACCTGTGTCTCCTAGAACGCTTCCATCAACGCTGCTTCCGTACAATCCTAAACATCCACTGGTCAGATTATGTGACCAATACATCTGTTCTAGAACAAGCAGCAGTCACAAGTATTGAGGCCATGTTGCTGAGAACACAGCTGCATTGGGCAGGACACGTCTCCAGGATGAAGGACCACTGCCTCCCTAAGATCGTGCTCTATGGTG